TGTCCCTCATGGTACTTCCGAAAAACCCAAACAAATACAATGGATGAATCCCATACACCTTGTAAACAATTCCTTACAATAGAGAGAGAGAGAGAGAGAGAGAGAGAGGGGGGGGGGTTGAATAAAAGAGAGAAATCCTCGTGGAGAAATCCAGACCCAACTAAGATGAATTCTCTAGCTCTCTTATCTCTTCCAAAAGCCAAACCCCATTTTATGAGAAAGGCCTATCAATAGTGGGGAGATAATAACCACTAAGTATGACTGACACTTCATATACCAAAGTAAGAAATCTAGATTCCAATAATGCCCTGACAGTGACATGAATAACAAATACACAACTCTAGCATAGAAGAAATTTTGATTTTGTTATTGCACAATCAAAAAGAAAAGATATGTCAATATCCTTTTTGGATCATATAATCTTTACGTTAAACCTTTTTTTCTTTTTTTTATGCCATTTATGTTGACCTTATTGATAAGTTTACAATTACAATTAAATTTGAATTCGAGGCCCAAAAAATGCAAAGTTCTTGATGGGGTATCATCAACATGATAAGTTGTCAACAATTCAATCTCTAGTTTGAGAGATAAGTAAATGCTCTTATTTTGAAAAAATACATGCTTAAAGGTTTCATACCTTCAATGCCCAGGAAAACGACGGCACACTTTCATCCCGTAGAAGCACACAGCCAAAACATGAGGTCACTCCATGATTGTCCACTCCAAGGAAGACACCTAACAACATATCATAAGACTCCAGGCGGTGGGTTGTATCAAAAACCACAGCATCTCCAAATGCCTCATACAACTGAATGGCTGAAGCATAGGACCAGGCAATATGCTCCAGCTTGTTATGGCCATCTAATTTGAAGTCATAGTGAAAGTTAGGGTTCTCATCCTTAAGTTTCTTGCACATTGCAATAAGATCAATGGCATCATAATCACGATTGACATTTCTGAATGACTGTAGCAGGTTTCTCACATCTATTTCTGAAAATGGTAAACAGCCTAGCTTAACACCTTTCTCTAGTTCCATTAACCTTAACATTTGCCTTACTGACATTCCAGCTTTTGCAAACATGCAAATCCTTGCCTTGTCATCTGGAGTTAGGGTGCAGTAGGCAGGAGGAAGACGAGCTTCATTTGTTTTCAAAAGTTCATGGTTGTGGATATTGCTAAAGCCTGTAACACGCCATTCAGGGACATCAAATTCTGCCCGCTTAACAATCCGCATGTATGCTAGACAACCACAGCGTGATGACTTGCGATTCCTCTGCAACTTCCCATCTTCAGGCTTCACCTGTGGATATCCACCACGATGACAGGTGAAATCCCTTCTTGTAACCCCTCGACCAACCCCATCCTTCCCTCTAGTGCGGTGGCGTCTTATTGAAAAGCCACATTGCTTAGCAAAACTGCAATAAAATTCATAAGCAGCATCTTGTGATACAAATCGCTGGCCAATAAATGGAACAAGATTCACAGAAGTTTGGTGCAAGAGTATTGTGTCTTCAGGTGTTTCCTCTATGGTGCCAGTATCATCTTGAGATAAGTCAGTGCCATTTTCAGAAGTTTCCATCACCAAACTCGTTCCTTCTGACATTCTCCTTTCAACAGATATGTAGATACAAAACCTACAAATACAAAGTTCACAAAATATCTTGTAAAGATAAAAAAAATTACCAGAAAGAGAATAAAAACAATGCTACAGTATGTACATCATGAATGCAACAACATGGTAAACACCACAGTACATCTTTGGCTAGTAAACAACCACACTATACTGATTACAGAGGTCATCATTCTACATGGCAAATGCTCCCCACGCATACTTATTGAGTCTACCAAGTATTCCAATTTCCACCAAATGCTTCATGGCATGATTAATCATTATATCCACTAATAACTAATAATTAAACGCTAAAAATCAACTCAATACAAACAATGTTAACTTCTAAATTGTGAAATACACTAATACTAATACGAATAACTAATTTCCCATGATGAGTATTTTCATTTTTCAATCCATGATGCCATGTTGGTTTGTCCCTTATCCCAATTCCAGCATATCTTGACCAAATCAAGTGAAAATCTTAAATCTAAACTAGGTCTGACTTCTGAGAATTTTAAACAATGAATTAATAATGAAAGGTAACGACTTGAATTCCCCAAATCCATCATACTACCCCTTCCAAAAACAACCCAGAACCAGAAATCGATTTCCATTTCATAACAATGGGAATTTCACATTCAATCATATCTTAGAACACTAACTAAACCAAAACCCAATTAAAAAATCACAAACCCCCTAACAAAATAATCAGAATCAGACCCATAAACACAAAATTAACATAAATATGTATCTAAAAGAAACAGTACCTGGGTTTCGATGAACGGTGAGGTCTTAACGGTCAATAACGAACTGGAAATTAAAAAGAAAAGGTGAAGGAAGGATGAAAGTGGCGGGGAGACTAGGAGGGGTGAGCAGAGCGCATACTGGAGAGAAGGATAACTATTGAGAACGAAGATAAACTATCTTACGCCGCTGCGGGTGCATAATGTTATCGTGCGCGCATGTGCATTGTGATTTATTAACCGTTGGATTGGATCAGAGGTTTGGTGGGGTCCAACGTGGACTGATTCTTTGAGATCAACGGCTCTCAGTAACTCTTTTGTTATCGCCAAAATATCGCCCCTTTTTCGTTAACCGGACATGCCCTTCAGGTATTATTTAAAAAAAAAATTAATTTGTGCTATCTTTGTATAATAAATTTTTATTAAAAAAAGTGAAAATAAATATTAATTTTAGAGTAATATGAATAAATTTAAATAAATAATAAATTAAATATTATTCTTTTTTAAAAAATTTTAATCTACACCCACGTTAAAAAAACTTAAAAAAAAAGAAAAGAAAAAGAACATGCCCTTCAGAATTGAGTCGGGTCTCTGGCTTCTGATGAACTCTATTTGGGCTTTGTTTGATAACATTTTTTTTTTATTTTATCTTTTACTTTTTATTTTTTTATTATTTTAAAAAATATAAAATATTAATTAAAATAAATATAAAATA